ACTCTCAATCAGTCTGTACAATATTTCCACCCAATTTTTTCAAGACCGCTGCGAGCCTTTTGCTCCTCCTTACTGTGCACCCTTAAAAAAGGGTGCAACGAGGCTAGATGAATCTCAAGATTTTTTTATCGACACGCTAAAGGGGCCACTTTTTTGTCGACCCACCAACAAGAAGCCTCAGAGAGGCCCTTTCCTTGTTGCATTTTTTTATGCCTAAACGTCGCCCCTTCCGTCGTCCGTCGGATCGTACTGTCGTGCGTCGCGTCGTACGTCATGTCGTGTATTGTGTCGCCTGAAGCACGACGCGACGCACGACACGACGCGACGCTGTCGCCCTTTGCTTCATGGTGTTTATAGAGGGCGCCTTTACTGTTTTCTTTCATTTCCTTCCCCCGGCCCGTGCTTGCACAGTACAGGCCTTCATTCTGTTGTTTTTTTTCTTGGATTCTTTCTAACTTTGTGTTTTCATTAAGAGTGAGTTGTTGAAGAAAACTCTTTTTCCTTTTTTTTTTTAAATCAAATGTAATCAGAAAGAGCTTTGGACTAACCAGCATTGTCTTCAGGAAATATATAACATTAACGTCAGCCACAACAATGTTTTAGCTTTTCCTGATCTAATTCTGATTTTTCTAATAATTATTGTAAATCCATTCTAAGATACAATACATCAATCATTATTACATGCTTGCAAAATGCAACATTCGGATCTGATGAGAAATTAAGCGCAACGCCAAACAGGGAGGAAGAAAAGACACCGTCACAATGGTAGTAGGATCTGNCCTTGTGTAATTTAAGAGGTTACACCTTGTTGCATTTTTTTATGCCTAAACGTCGCCCCTTCCGTCGTCCGTCGGATCGTACTGTCGTGCGTCGCGTCGTACGTCATGTCGTGTATTGTGTCGCCTGAAGCACGACGCGACGCACGACACGACGCACGACGCGACGCTGTCGCCCTTTGCTTCATGGTGTTTATAGAGGGCGCCTTTACTGTTTTCTTTCATTTCCTTCCCCCGGCCCGTGCTTGCACAGTACATGCCATAGGTACCAGGCCTTCATTCTGTTGTTTTTTTTTCTTGGATTCTTTCTAACTTTGTGTTTTCATTAAGAGTGAGTTGTTGAAGAAAACTCTTTTTCCTTTTTTTAAATCAAATGTAATCAGAAAGAGCTTTGGACTAACCAGCATTGTCTTCAGGAAATATATAACATTAACGTCAGCCACAACAATGTTTTAGCTTTTCCTGATCTAATTCTGATTTTTCTAATAATTATTGTAAATCCATTCTAAGATACAATACATCAATCATTATTACATGCTTGCAAAATGCAACATTCGGATCTGATGAGAAATTAAGCGCAACGCCAAACAGAGAGGAAGAAAAGACACCGTCACAATGATAGTAGGATCTACAGTGTTTTATTAAGAAACAAGGACTAATATCATTGAAAGTGTGATGCTGATGAAGTTAACAAGGAAGACTAAACTGAAGGAAGACTGAAGACTGAATATTCTGAGGGTAATAATATAGTGCAGGCTGGGTGGTAACTACCTAAGCCCGTGGTCAAACTTGCGGTCGTACAATTGTAGACAAATTGTCTGGAGGAGTGGGAGAACTACTTGCAAACTGTTGGCATGGACCACAGAGAAATATTTATAAGGTGACAAATCTACCACAAATCTTCATCAACGGTCTTAAAAAGAAATTGGACGGACATTCGAACAAAGATCAGCCGGGTAAATTAAAAAGTGACGAATTCTTGGCTTACACTTATTATGTGAGAGCACCTATTTACGCAAATTTTCTTTCTGCTCGTTTTCATTTTTTTTCTCGATAAAACATGACAAAAACTAATTCAATTTGATGAATGGATGAAACCCCCCCCCCCACACACAAAAAAAATTCAACGCCTGCAGCTCAGGGCATGTATTTTGCAAGCGCGATGGACGGAAATGAGAGAAAACAAAAGAAATCATTGGCTGGGAAATTAAGGAGTGATGAATTCCTGAAGACAATGCTGGTTAGTCCAAAGCTCTTTCTGATTACATTTGATTTAAAAAAAAAAGGAAAAAGAGTTTTCTTCAACAACTCACTCTTAATGAAAACACAAAGTTAGAAAGAATCCAAGAAAAAGAATAACAGAATGAAGGCCTGGTACATGTACTGTACAAGCACAGGCCGGGGGAAGGAAATTAAGGAAAACAGTAAATCTGGTGCCCTCTATAAACACCATGAAGCAAAGCTCGACAGCACACGACGTGTCGCGTCGTGCTTCAGGCGACGCGATGCACGACACGACGCGACGCACGACGCGACGGGCGACGGAAGGGGTATGGTGTAAGGGGCGACGGTTAGGCAGAAAAAAAATGCAACAAGGAAAGGCCTAAGACAGCACGACGCGACGGGCGACAGCAGGACGCGACGTGTGTGTACAAACGTAATGCCCCATCATTGTGTCCGCAGGCCCATTATGTCGGCCCCGTCGTGTCCGCAGGCCCATTCAGTCCGCCCCACTGTGTCCGCAGGCCCATTCAGTCCGCCCCACTCTGTCCGCAGGCCTATTCAGTCCACCCCATTGTGTCCGCATTATGTGATTGTTAATTAATAAAGTGCCTGTCACGTATTTGTTCATTTTTTTTTCATCGTTGATTTCAGAAGCTTTTTTTAAATTCCTTGCAGGTATTTAAATGTAGGCTGTTATTCTTCCACAGTGATGATGGAATTAGTTCTTCATTTTGTGTATACACAAAGTGAAAACTTCCACTGCTCTGTGTTTGGGTCATGTTCCTAACGGAAAAATGAAACAAAAGTTCCCATACTCTGGGTCAAAGTGATACTGTGTGGATTACTTTTTGCACAATGTATTCCACGCAAATACACATACATGTAGATGGAACAGGTGAAAAATCCTCATTTTTATGAGTAAGCGTGAGTTTGTTTTTGCATTCAATTGGGGACCCTGAACAATAGAGGACAATAAGGTCCCCGATTGAGATAGGGTGCCCACTTGAAAACTGTGTACAAAACAGATGGGTGGTCTTCTAAAAAGGTTTAAGTACAAACTAAAGAGGAACAACACGGGGTCCCCAGTTGCAGGCAAATACACACTTGTGTGTATGTGTGTATAGGGAAGGGGCGTAATCATACACATCGCCCTACGTCTTAAGTTTGATGGAGCGGAGTTCGGCCGCAACCATGAATTTTGTTTTCCGAGGCCTATTTCCTAAGGTTACGTGAAGTGTTTCCGTGGCCGAGAAAATAAGGGAAACCGGTCCATGCAAGCAAGGTTTAAGGAATAATCGGTCGATTTTATCCTTTTGCTAGCTGGGAGTTGGGGGATTTCAGGATTATTCCCAAAGGATTGCTGCCGTGAATTAGATTTGTTTTCAGCAAGGAGTGCATGAGATTTGTTATGAGCGTTAACAGGGCCACTTCACACTCTTTTCTTACCGTTTGATTTTATACAGCGTCATGGACGAGTGGTCCGTCTGCTGATGTATTTGAATACTTGTTTGTGACCAGCGCAGCATGGAGAGATTATTATGTTGATGTAGCTTTTGATACAGTGGTATAGATACCAGCGTTTGTGCAGATCAGAACTTCCCAGAAAGTTTGTGTGAGATTTGCTTAATTTTCAGGGTACAATCCTTAACTAGGAAGTCATCACTGGTCTCATCTCCTGCACAGTCACGAAAGTGGGTGGGTAACGCCCGCGGGCCCATTAGGCTGGTGTCTCCCAGACAGCGGGAGTTTTAAAACTCCGTGTCCAGAGCTTGGCGACGCAAGGGCTCGTTAGTGTATATTTGTGGGTTTTGTTTCTAATTCACTACATGATTTAATGTATACTGGTGTATATAGAAGTATAAAAAAGGGACTGATTTGGTGGGGAGAAAAAGGCACAGACAATAAGCTCTGTTTCCCCCAACCGTAGAGGGGAGAAAAAAAGGTGGGACGTCATATTAACACCCACCAGACACAATGGGGCGGACATAATGGGCCTGCGGACACAATGAGCCTGCGGACACAATGGGTTGACAGAATGGGCCTGCGGACACAATGGGCGGACAAAATGGGCCAGAAAAAGTTTGCGGACACAATGGGCCATGCAGACTTAATGGTCCGGAACATATGGCCTCTGCATCAATGGATGTGTTGACGGATTTTCTAGAAGGATCATTTGGATGAATGCATACCTCACATCTTTTGAGCCACAGCTGACGGTGGGTACTATAAATTATGGAAGCTATGGAATCACTGGGTGGGGTGCCCAAAGTTTGTCCGCGGCGACCGTGTCACAGAGAATGGGGATGTGAGAGGTATCCAGACATTTCTTATTGTATATTGTGAGTCAGAGTGACCATAAAGTAGGCCACACCGATTAGATACCGGTTTCTGGTGTGTCTTTCACTCACCACCTTTAAACGTTCAAGCCTAGTCATACTTTATCAAGTCTTCACTTCTATTTTCATATTGATATTTTCAACAGGACGAGCTTGATGACGTTGTAATCACATGGAACCGTCACCTGATCTACTTCAAATTGGCTTCCGGGAAATCCCAAATTATGTCGTGCGCACGAGATAACAATTTTTTTGGTATCCTTTTGGGGCTCCGTACCTCCATCATGATTATTAGGTCCCTCTTTTTATAACCACTTAGTTATCCTGCTCACCTTTTCTCTTCTTTGGAGAGTTCTTTCAGCTCATGGATCACCCTTATCTTGCCCCCGCTCTGGTTTCAGCAAAAGGGTCAGCCTGTAATTGGTGTCTATGGGGTCATCACTGACCCAACCTCCCTCAAAATGCCTTGAGTAGACCCGTACCCCTGGCTCCAACAAGCCGCCCGTTTCCATGTCTCTATTGTTTGTTGTGTTTCTCTATTCTGCTCGCTGCATTTTGCATTTAGGATATGGGAAAAAACGAACTCCGTTCTCTTTTCATGTACCGTCATGCATTGACTGATAATGGTGCACAATTTCTTTTAAAACTCACACAAAAGGGAACATTACTGGTTTCTTTTGACCTCTTCTAAATTTTTATTTTGTCCTCCAAAAGTTACTCTCACACCAGAAAGTAACAGCTATAATGATTTTACAGGATTTTCCAAAGACGAAAGTGACAAAAAGTGCACATGCTGAGAGAAAAATGATGTTGAAGTATATGCCCCTGTACATTTTCAATCATTCAATGGGCTGCTCAAGCTTTTCGCCTCCACATGCCATTTGTGCACATGCTCACATACATTAGAGTTTATTAGTGGAAGGGTTTATACTTACAAAGCATGTTCCCTTGAGACCAGCCAAGCATGTTTATTCCCGGATAAAAAAAACCCCACAAAAATCTTGCTCATAATGCAACCCTTTCAGGACCATAGGATATCCGTTTATATATAATGCTACGTCTTAGAAACTGTTGCCATCAACCTACACTCATTAGAAACCCTCTACAATGAACAATAGTTTATGAAAACCACAGTAGGCCTACCGGTACAAATATTCTCATTCATTCCGTGTCTTAGACATAAAGCCTTCTGCATATACAAAATATAGAGCATGTTTTGAGATAAAATACAACAAATTTTTTTACCCATGCCATACTATAGAGACATAAATCACAAAACCTGACACAGAAAAAAAATGACGTGTAATTTCAAAATGAGGACATTTCCTTATGTTTAGTTGCAATATTTTTGAAATGCAACATTTTTGAAATACTGCATTCAATATTTCCGACATCACAACAAACAAAGAGTGTGACCAGCTCCCAACAAATCAGTCTCAAGGCAATTTTTTTCAGTAATTCTAGTTTGCTTGTCCTAAACCATAACAATTCAGTCTAGGGTGACATGGGCCACGGTGCTGTACTAAAAAATATTTCAAAAAGCATATCGTGCATACTTAAGGGTACCTAATCCTCAAGTGGATTGCACAAAGTCATACTTTGCAATTATGCAACAATTAAATAAACCATAGAGCTACATATAAAATATAGAGCACTGACTCACAAAGTAATGCCTGCTGGGCTGTATGTTTGTGCATGAACCTAGGGAAAACTTGAAATTTTGTATGGCTTTTGTACGGCTGTTTGCATATCTGTCTGTAAACAATAAGCAAACAACCTGAACACAAAATCAATAAATGAGCGTTTCAGTTTGCTCTGCACCAAAAAACACGAACGCGTGTGCATAAGCGCTGCACATGAATTTTGCTGTGACATATTTCAATTGGATTTATCAGTACCTGTCAACTCACTTAACACTGACTGTATTGAGGGAGCGACTTTTTAATTTAGCAGAACTTATTCATTGAAAGACAGCCATCGAAAGACATGCATACGAAATCAGACTACCTTGCTAGAATGTTAGGGAAACATTTGTTTTAAACTACGTTGTACTTGAGTGTTGCATTTAGACTACATAATTTGATATCCATTCTATCTAATTTTGAATGTTCTACAAGCACGCACATGGATTCAAAATGTCTGCGCCCTGGACGACGTCAAACTTTCTCTGGATGGAGAATGAGAAGTTAGTGCTCTAGTTTTTATATAAAGCTCTATGGAGAAAACAGAGCTCTTTGTATCAGTGCATCATTCAGTTTGGCATTACAATGAAATGGGAATGACAAAATGTTCAGGCTGCCCAATGATTTGCACTGTGCAATAGTTTTAAAGGTCTTTCTCTCAAAAGTGGCTTTGGTGCCTTATGATTCATTTATGATTCATGTTTGGTTGGATCTTAGTCTCTATCAACATAAATGTACTTGTAATGTATGTTTATCATCATAGTCTATTCAACATAACCATACCTAATGCAGTTACTACTGCACCTTGAAGGAGAGGATTTAACCCAGTATTACTCTTGCTGAGAATCTTTAGGGTTTATCCAAATACTAGCTTTGGATGAAGGTGGGGCTATTTTTTTATTGTGTGTCTTCTACAACTCCATGGCCATTTGTGTGCAACAACACTATGCATGGCACAAATCATACATCCACCAATTCAGTGCCAGCTACCATGATTTCATGTTCTGTTTTATGGTAAAAAATATCTGAAAACATCCGCATTTGAAAAAACACATGCAGTTTTCATCATACATGTCGTTATTTATGCATGGTGCACAGACCTGCCAACCTTTAGGATCACAAAACTGTATTCTGAAAATAACAAATTGTATTTGTCATTAAAAATCTTATTTTTCAAAGATAATCGTATCGACAAGCTTACAAAGGTTTCATGTTGCTGCAGTGCTCCACGGTGATTTGTAATTATGATAATACAGTCATTTCAAAACTATTCAAGTAAAATGGGATTAATCACCCATACCCACACTGTGTCAAAGAGATAGACCTTCTTCAAAATTATTTTCCACATTTAAGCTTTTCAACTCGGAATATTGCAGCATCGTAGAAAGTGCCAATGCCACTTCTGGCACTGGACTACTTTGACTAGCTTCAGATTTGGTCAACACTTCTTTGCACATAAAACTCATCACACAACAAATCCATTTTACAGCCAGAACCACCATAAAAGCAGATTTTCTGACAGCATTAAAATTCAGTTCATGAAACAGAATTCTAGTACATTTGAATGCTTTGGCAAATTTTACCTTGATGTGATGGCTTAAAACAGGCACAGACTGATAAACCTTTTACTGACGAATTACATAACTGCAAGACTCTGACGTCCATAAAATCAATTAGGCACGTGTAGTTGAGTACATTCTTTGCATGTGCAATCCAGAATTAGGCAAAAATATACGTTCAGTCACACATAAACATTCACGATTTTCTCCTTTCTGAATGGCTGCATGAAACATCATTTCTCTGAGTATTCTCAACCATGTTTAAACAATCATTTCATGCCAGTACTGTTTCATACTCAAACTAAATAATAAAGCCATCAGCTGTAGCAAGCATGGTCTGTGTGGTATTGATGGCCGTTCATCTATCATAATGCCTAGCCCTTTTGTATGGAACCTTACAATTGGTTAATACGCCAGGTCCTCAATGCATCTGTTACATCCCACACCAATCAAGGATGCCCTAGCTTACAAGATAATGGTGTAGATGAGTGTAGTCTACACTCACGGCCGTTTTCTAGCATAATGGTCAAAACCCATATTGATACGGGGGAAAAATATGGCATTTTCAACAAATTCCTGTACGAAATATGGCAACATCATACTACATGTAGTTAGCAGGTCTGGGTGCATAATTAAAGGGAGCAGCTCACATTGTTTTCAGCATGGAGAGTATTCCCATGTACTGTATGTAGAATATAGTTTCATGTCTAAACTACAACCAATAAACCTGTTCAACAATATCAGCAACGACATTTAAAGCAACCTATTCCTGCAGAAAAGGTCTACGTACATCCTGCCAAATACAGATCAAAAGCTGGTTTATTTAATTTTCCACTCAACCTTGCCATCACTGCCTAGCCAAGCTGAACCATCAGCAACAAGTTCCAGGGCTTTTGGGTAGGCAATATGTTCAGCTGTCTTGACGCGTTGCTGGAGTGTCTCAACAGTGTCTCCTGGCAGAACAGAAACAGCCTCCTGAACAAGGATAGCTCCAGCATCTACCTCCTCCTATACAAAGAGAACCAGAATCCAATTCAGCGCACAAGATATAAGCATATTCTAAACAGATACCAACTCGACCCCTTATCTCTTGAAAACATATTACTCTCCTTCCCCGAAAAAGGGTTTCTTCATGATAGCCAGTTATAACACAGCAATAGTGTAACATATTTTTGCAACATTAAATTATTCATAATTAATTCAATCCATTCTCCTTTGAGTTCCACATAAACTGATGTGTAAACATGCAGGGGCTTCCTACATGTAGGTCATAACACATCTATAGGTTGTTTAAATATTACATGGTCCGGTGAATTCAGCATGCAATACCATGTGATGTTCAATCTCTTCTCCATGCTTGATTGATTCTCCTTTTGTTTGTACAATTATAGAGATTTGAATTATGCCTTAGAGGTTGAGCTTATTTATTACCCAAAGCGGCTGTGGGCCATGGCTGGCTACTGTAGCACTGCTCCACAACACTGTCTCGGAGTTTAAAAAGCAATGACGCAATAAGCAATGTTGCACAAATCCTGAACAAATGCAACCCAAGGGTCAGCATTTGTAAACTAAAACCTTTATAAAGGACTGTGTGTCATTATTTTTTGCCCAAAATAATACCATTATTAAGTTACCTGTGGAATAACACCGTTGACAAGTAGTTGAAGGAATTTGTTTTTACATTTATGTGTAGGTGGCACAATGAACTGTCATTATTTTGAGGTTCAGTTTCTATTGGACACAGCTAGGAGGGTAGCTTGTGGGTTCAACAAGTACAGTGATTCCAGTCACAGTATAACTTTTAGACACTGTCCGATTCATATTCACATTAATTAAACCCTCCTATGCAAAGATACATTCTTGACACAGTTATCATATCAGTCAAAAGCAGTCAAATTTCTTATATGGGTCTGTGTACTGGGCAAATCAAGTGGAAGGAATTTTGGACTGTTTTTGACGGTTACAGCAGCAGGAGGGTTAGCACAGTTAAATGCAATAGCCACTAGCCACAGAAATTATCCACACGTGTATGTTTAATATGAATTTGGTTTAAGGCCTGTGAATCCAGAAACTTTACTGTTAAGGCTGTGTTGATATTGTAAGTGCAAATCAATTTTAGAGTTTAACACTTTTACTCTTGACAGCACTGCTTTTGCAATAATCAAAAGTTGAACAGAAAAACATGAAGTACAATGTGAAAGCTCATCACATGTAATAGTAGTTCTACCTGTAGTTAGAATAAATGAAGTCTCAAACTTCACTGCGAAAAAGAATGATTGTTTTGTGTGAGCATTGAGGTTTCAAAAGTCCTAAATAATCCAAATATAAAATAACAAATTATGGACTCAAACAGTAGAACCTTCAGTTTTTAATCATTTTAAGAATATGGGAATGTAACTTGTATGGTACACATACTCTATGTGTAAATGTTTACTTCAAAATCTTTAATCCACAAGTTTTTAAATTAGCCTTTGTGGTTACGGACAATTGGCTTTGCCCCGAAAAACTTAACGTAGAAGCCAGTATTAGTAATATTTCATTTTATGAAATCTTGATATCCAAAAGTAGCAGAAAAAGCCAGAGGAGTGGTCTTAAATGAACCAAAGTCAAAAGTTTTCAAGGCCCATAGGCCAGTCCCGAATACCCCGCCACAATTTCTTTGTGAACCATTACAGAAATCGCCTATGGATCTGAAAAATCGTGGGCAAACAAGGTGATGCTATTTCTAAAAATAAATTACAACAAATATTGTTTCTTATTTTTGCTTTACTTAGCATCATTTTGATCCTATTACAGTGTCTAAATAATGACTTCAGTCTAGATGGCAATGTCCATCATCACTAGTTTTGTTCATATTTGTGTGGCAGAACGAGTCAAATCAATACAAAGGAAGCTCTGTCTACCGAGGCCAAACTCAAATGTGGTGTTCCCCAAGGTTCCGTTATTGGTCCACAGCTTTTCACTTACTACTTACACACCATTGGTCACGTAGTCAGAACTCAATTCACCCATTCACCTCATTTATGCTTACAACATACACTTAATTTTTGACTTTCAATGCCACACAGAATAAGAGATATTGAGTGACGATGGAGTCTGTGCTCTGTTCAAGCTTTCTCAATGTGTCCAAGATGCTCAATCCTGAATAGTTTCCAATAAACTCCTGATGAACAAAGACAAGACAGAGTTTTCATTGCCTCTTCCCCTACTCACTTGGAGTCTCTCCAACACCCCACTTTTCACCTGTGACAATGAAATACTTTTTCACCATCTGTAAGAATTAAAGTGCTGTTGCTGACAATGACATGAACAGGTCTCGTCATATTACTCAACTTTGTAATTCCTTAAACAGGCACATCCACAATCTTAGTCGAATAAGAAGATTTCTTGTCTTTCTTTCCAAGTTAGACTACTTTAGCTGTCTACTCAAAACCACATTTCTAAAAATGAAAGATCTCACCTTCAAAAACTTCCAGAAATCCACACATATACAAACATGTACATCTCTGCTTATAGGTACAGTCCATCATTTGCCATTTGTGCAAAATCTAATGAAGGGTGCCTAAAAACAATCATGAAGTTTCAGCAGAGTGAATACTATATGTTCCAAGAAAAGCAATACTCTAGCAATTCATTTTCAGATCAAAGGTTGCTGAGTCATGTTTTGAATGCACCTGAAATCTAAATCAGGGACACATTCTCAAGTTCAGTCGAATGCAGCACTGAACCACAGAATTATAGGTAACCACACACACATTTCAAGTCAATGCTCGTGTGTACTTCTAATGGCAATTTTCCAAAAAGCATCTTTAGACGCATTATTGGAAATGGCCTTCTTTCACTGTTTCCTTTAAAATGACAGCTTGCCAGAAAGACTAATTTTACAGGGAGTTTAGTCCTTCTTCTCTTCACAAAAGAGATATTTCCAACATGGTGTACCCGCAAACCTTTTTGGATTATATTTCACTATTGAGAAACTCACCTTGTAAATTGCCCCACATGATGCAGTCTGATCCACCCTTTGAAGTAATTGAAATGATTTTTGAATCTCTCCAACAATACAAAACTTTACAAGGATTGAAAAGAAAACGAAATCATCTACATGTCGTCTATATTGGTGTTAGCTAGTCTCTTTCGCTTACTGGATAATGATGGGTCCGTGGATATTCTGACCAAAGCAACCAAAGGGATATTTCAGAGCAGAAGGATGGGAGCATGGTTCTTTCCGCAGGTTTAACATTGCCACGGGATTGGTCACATTGGGCACTTTTTTGTAACCCTCACCATAAGTCTGGGGGTACGTCATAGAGGGATCCCAATATGACGTTTTTAGTGTCGATTTGCGAACTTCCATGTTTGAAAACGAGGCTGTATGTGTCAGCTTCAATTCTTAATACGATCAGACGATTGGAAGTAAGGAGTTAAGACATAAAATACATAAAGGTAAATTAAATTCAGACTTTTCAGGATGACTCGACATGTAAAATCAAAAGAAAAAATAACGACAATTGACCGCGAACTAAGGTACCTGCGATGGTCATGTATCTTGTGCAGTGGGCGTGGTTTAAACTGAAGTGGCGTCACACTTACAAACCGGATACTCCATGTACTGTGTGGACTCTGTGGGCGCGCGCGACGAAGTTCAACACAGAGAGCCTCAGTTTTGATGCAGATATGCGCAGATGGCACTAATGTGAAATCCCTCTATAGTCAAATTAAATTCTTGACTGAGGGGAGGGAACTCGGAACACACTGTCTATTAGGCTTAGGTGGGTACTGCCTTTTTCCATACCGCGGTATCTGTAAAAAAATAGCGTGGTATTTACTAACACCGTGGTATTCGTTGCAGAAGGCATTACGTCATAAAAAAGCAGCGCTGATGCCGACGTTCAACTCCAAACACAAACAAAACAAAACTAGGGGCCAGCATAAAGGGTTTTTCAACGTCACAAACCCCTTAAACTTAGTAAGTATCATCATTTATCTTTCCATTTGATGTCAAATAAATATTGTTTACGTGAGAGAATAACCCCCCCAAAAAACCCAAAGGTGTTTTAAATACAGATTTGTTGCTCTGTGATTCCTATTTGTGTGGTCACTCGTACAGTGTGAAAATCTGCACGTGTGCTACAGTCAAATTGATAATTGCTGAGACAGTGCATTATTGTAATGATTATGTGCCGGTCACCAGTGGCTAGTCCTCTCAGCAGTGCCCTAACACTGTGCATGTGCAATAATAAGGTGGCTTCCAGACAACTCTGCGGCACGCCAGGCATTGCAAGCACAGTTGACTATCTTTATTTACAAAATCAGTTGTAACGAAATTCTGATTATAACAAACACGAATCTGTGGTCCCGGCGAAAACCTACACATTTCTATGGGGAAAAAATCTGTTGTACAAAATTCCTGGTACAATGGTACAACGAAGGTTTCCGTGACTCCGTTACTTGAAAAACCATTGTTGACAACCCACTTATAAAGTGTTTGCCAATTGCGGTGGTGAAAACACGTGCGCAGTGCACCACACTGGTTCCTGCCAGGCCAAACCGTTGCCAACAAAGGTATGATGGGAATGCGGCAACCAGTCAATATACAGTTCCTGCCAAAAAAAGTTGTATGTTCCACAACATCGAATGCAGCTCTATAGTTGTGAGTCGAAAAACGCTGCCGCCAAATTTTTCTGCAGGTTCATTCACAAAAATTGATCTCATGTCTATGTTCGTGTTTTCTGTGACCATGAATTTAATTTGAAGTTGTACTGCTTGTACTCAAGCGACCATTTCCACAAAATTTCCAGCCGCAGCACGAGGCTTATCGCATGCCCCTCCAGATGCGTCACGCATGCTTACAATGTGATATACAGACATAGTTTGCCAGTTTCCTGTCGTCATGACATGCGTAGTGCACGATTATAAAATCAATGATATTTTGCATTAACACAAATGCCAAAACAAAACTTCCCATCCCAATTCTGATAAAATATGCCCCAAACAAGTTCGCTCGACTA